GTTTATACCCAATTGAAGGAGAAAGTTGAAAGTCACATTCTATTATCTAAAAATGATTAATGATATTATATGATATAATTGTAACACATTATCATATCGCATTGAGTTTCAGTTCCTCTGTAGAGAACAGCTTTTAGCTTCTCTGTATTCACAAGTATGAGAACAGCATTATTATTAAAATATGTGTCCGTTCGCGGAAAATAATCGCACAAGCTCGTCTCGCAATGATGCAGAGAACACTCGTTCGAACCTTACGAATTGTTTCCATCGGATCTTATAATTAGATCCATCTAATTCGATCGGCGAGTATAATTAGGACTTGGCGACGGGAATGAAACTAATGTAACGATCGAAAGGGCAGTCAGATAGAGGAGATAAAATCGTTGTCGAGGCATCGATGATCCCGAACGAGGTGAACGTTAGAGGTGAACCTCCGTGGTGGGTTAAAAGCGGAGCGTCTGTGAGTTATTGCACGTGAAAAGTAAAACCTGGGTATTACGGGGATGATAATTGATCGAGGCAACGAGTCCAGCAATTTTTTCCTGTCTTCTGTTAATTCGAGATATCGCGTTACATAAATTTGCGGTTACACCCCTTCTTCTCCTCTTTGAAACGAATGTTCTTCGTTATTTTCTCAGACGAAATTTTACGGTGAACTTTACAACGTCAACACGTTGATACTGCTGTGCATTATTACTAGAGGGAAATTGAATATTAATTAATTATCGCGATTTGTTTAATTTAAGTACAATTTCACGCGTGTATCTCTGAAACTGAAACTGATTGACAGCACTTTGTGTTGAGTTTCTCTAATTTTATTACTTGGACGCACCATCAACGTTCAATTTCTTATAATAAATGATTTTTACAAGAAATATAAATATGATCGATTTTTCTTTTTAAATAATATGAGCAACACTTCTCTTTTTTCTTAATTGTTCAATTTATAAGTTTCATTAATACAGTTTCTGAGCCACTCGATGTCGCTCGAATAGGTACAAATATAGATACTCTTGTAACTTGTTTCTACGATACAAGATCAACTGATGAAAGAAATGTTTCATTGATATGGAAAGAAATTTTAAAAAATATAAAGAACGATCCATGTAAAAAGATGGTATAACAATGAATAGTGAATAAAAATTATTTTATTATTAGTTTAATTAATGTCAAACATAGATCCACGTGAAATAAACACATCTAATTAAAAACACGAAAATGCAAAACCACAAAGATTTGGAAAAAAAATTACCAAATACACAGTTCAAGTTATTTAGAACTTGAAACCAAGTGATCAAAGTGACCAGAATATAATAAAAAGAAACAACAGAAAACGAACAAGAAAAAAAGAACTAAAATTACTTTCCCTAATGAAAAATCAAACATGCTTAAATAAATAAAAATGCAGGTCAAAACACCGAGAGCAATATCTACAAAATTACACCGACATGACGTACAAAAATCTCGCAGCATTGAAACAGAAATATAAATCAAGAAATCTAATTAAAAGTAAACAACGTACAACCAAAACGAAAAAGAGAAAGAGAGATCAAATTTAAATAAACGTCAAGTAAAAAATATAAAATGAAGAATCGCGACGTGCAGTTAAAAAAAAAGAAAAATACAGTTTTCGACAAAAGTAAACAACTGTTGCTTGACCGGAAGTGCTAATCAAGAGGCTCGGCCTCTGAATCTTTAGTCCACGTAGAGAGAGAGAGAGAGCGGTGCTCGTCGACACCGGTATATCCGGCGGCTACAACTGGTCAGCCGACCGTATCCGGCAGCGATATTAAATTTGTATTTTTACGCTGATTCCACGGGCCATTCCCGTACGTGAGTCGAAAGGGAATCGTTCGGGCGATTAACGATCCAGGCTCCCTGGGGAGCCGCTGGTACTGAGGTAGCCAACTCCAAACGCTTCCCAATGGCGACTCTTCTTCTATGTGTGTGTATGTATGTATGTGTGTGATCCTAAAACTCTGTCCCTCCCCCCCTCATATCCGTCCACGATGCCCGTGTCTCTCCTATTCACTAATATTTTATTTAACGCCTATCAAAATTTATGGATTTCCCTCGCCCTCGGCCAACGGTCACTCCAGAATTTAATGTTCGCTTCGCAGGAACGATGTTTGGTCTCGTTCCTCGGGGTTAAAAAAAAAAAAAAAAAGAAAAAACGCGGAACAATGAGGCTTCGCATCTCGCAGAAGATCAAATATGTATGTGAAACGAATCGCGTGGCTTCCTTGTCCGATGTTGCTGATTTATAGAGAATTAAGGGCTGAAATTCGAGTTTTGGAAATGTAGGACGATGGTCTTTTGTTTTAAAGAAGACTGAAAGACAATTGAATACGAATAGGAGACAAAATGAGATCGATGTTTCATGTTTCATTTTTGATTAACAGTTAATCAGATGTATTTTCATATTCAAATATGAAAAGATATATTTCTTTCTTTTTTTTTTTTTTTAGTGTAGATTATGATCATAATCATTGTCGAATTGATCTCACATCCTTAAACATGTATTAAGTTGCCTAATGAAGGTATAATAACAGTATAACACAAAATTAGAATATCAGCAATGAATTCAACCGTCTACTTGAACTTCGAATATCAAAGGTACATTTTCTAATATTTTGCAATTGTAAGACATCGCTGGAATTAATTCAACATTCTCCTCCAACAAAAAATTAACGATAGTACAACTTGAAGCAAGATTCTATTTTCTTGTCCTCTCTTACAATTCACCCCGTCAAAAATTTTACGCACATCCAAACAAAAAGATTAAACAATTTCTATACGTGTAAAAACTTTCAAACTAACTAAAAAAAGAAAAATAGTAAAAGAAGAAAATTACGAGAGAACTGTAAAATTACGATTAATTGTTCAACACTGTTCACTCCCCCGGAAACAAACACAAGTCGCGGCGGAACTATTACCGGTTCCATATCTCGAATGGTTCCCGTTGGTCTTATCGCTCCAATCGCAATTCCTTCTTCCATTATTCCTCTCGGTTCGCAGAGCGATCTCCTTCTTCCTCTTTCACTCTCCCCCCCTAACCGAAAAAGGAAGAAAATCTTAATGTCGAGCATTTTGTCGAGCGGTGAAACGCGTCTGTTTGACTCGAGTTAAAGGGTCGTATTGGAAAGAGGAGGAAAGAAAGATGTAACGCTCTGTGCATGAAATTATCCCCACGAGTGTCGTAGATCGACGAAACCGAGCGGATTATTCCGTCTTGACGCGACTTTGAATACTCGGTCTGGAAACTGAGAGCTCGCTCTGGCGAAAGGAACGACTGCAATGCTGCTCTGTTACGACGTTCGGTAGGCCGAGCCACGGGGGTTGGTGGCTGCCTCGAGCAGGGCACCTTCCTGCCTTTGTTAGGGTAAAAATATCGCGTCGCGAGCCATACGTCTTCCGGACAGGCGAAATAAGCACGGGGACAATTGGAAGTTGTGAAGGTAACAGCTCGTTTCGCGTTGGTCTCTCTCTTTTTCTCTCTTTCTCTCCCTTTTTTTTTTTAAGGAAGTAGTTGCTTTGTTCGTTCGAGACTTGGTGATGAGAAAATAAAAGAATTTTGATATCTTTTGGGTTAAAATTTATTGCTAGAGAGTAGAGACATTGATGGAAATTTAATTCAAATTGTCGTTAGATAGAGTAGCATCTTTAGAATTTATGTTTATTAAAAAAATACAGGGTTCAATTTCTTTCTGTACTTTGATAATGTTTAAATTGAAAGTTCCAAAATTAATAATTAATAATTTCCAAAATAAATAATTTGACGCAAAAATTGTTTTACTTTCGACTGGATCAATGAAACTAATTAAAGGAGTGAAAGCCAATTTTTAGTATAATAATGACTTATATATAATTAGCCAAAAAGAAGAATGGTAGGCTTCAAGTTTTGAAGCTAATTCAATACACCGAATCATACACAGAATTTAGAATTTCTATGGAGGAAGATTTTAATTACTTAATCATCACAATTTTACATTTAGCAAGTTATTAAAAGTTCAATCTTCGATTATTGATTATCCAAATCACTTCACTATCGATAGATTTACTCTCAAGATTCAAATTCAACATGTGTCTTCTGCATTTTTCAAATTACATCATACAAATATCCACAACATCATATAAATATCCAATTTAATTACAATATTATTACATATAAAATATCCATTCTATCTCAACATCCAACACTTTACTTATTGTAATTTAGTACTTAAAATTCAAAATTTGTCTTCTTTACAATTACATTATATAAAATATCCCTCAATGTCCAAAATACTTTCATTCAACGCTTCAAAGATTCGAAATTCGTACCTAAATACCAAATTTCTCTCTACCCTTTTCAATAGCAACACTGCAATCTTCCTTTTTACATTCGTGACTCGAAAATTTGTGTACAAATTCTACTCTGTTCAAATTACAGCGTTACCCCATATAAAATCCCACTCTCGCTTGAGCTCGAAATTTCTCTTCTGTCCTTCAAAAGCTCATCTGATCGTCGCGAGAACACAGCTCGCTGAATCAACGCAAATTGTTGAGGAAGAAGAGAGACACGGTGTGTAAATAGTGGTAGTTTCCTGGCAGGAGGGAGGAAGAAGTGGGGGAGAGGGTCAGATTAGAGGGTACGTTTGACAGATGACGCTTGTCGATATCGTGTTTCGGTTAAACGCCATCGCATCCCCCTATTTCCACCATATCCGTCTTACATTTGCATATAGAGTAAATCTCTTGGCAAGGTCTCGGCCTCGTCGCCGCTCGCCTCCGCGCTTTTATGGACTTAAGGAGAAAAGTAGCTCGAGGTGAAGCAGGTGGCAGGTCTGTTATCACGACTTCCGATTGGCCTGGCCCCGTGTTCCGCTTGTCAGGGAAACGTGCCACCCGTGCCACGCGATATTTCCACGTCGACGTTCCTCATTTTTCCCCCCCTCTCGCCGCTACGCGATTAGAATAAACTGGTTCCGTGCGATTGTTTGACTTAACGTAGTCCTCGATCCTCTGCGCTGCTCCTAGTTACTCCAACCGAGGCCCTAATCAGGTCCAACCGAGAGAACTGATTGTAATCGAAAGGTATAATAACTGAATCTGTCTTTTATTAGCCAGATGTTTTTTTACAATTTGGGAAATTTGTAACTCGTGGAAACAGATTGCTTATGTACAATGACGTTAACATTTGGTTAAATATAATACACTTATAATTTTGTGGAGAGAAATCGTACAATGATAAGATTGGACTCGTTTGCTTCGTGTGATATTCTACGAGACTCTGTTTATCTCAGATTATTTAGCAGACGACAAAATGAAGGCACACTTTTGTTCTTAAATCAATAATTGTAATTCCGTGTTTTCAGTCACGATGGTATAAGTGATTGGTTAAGAGAAATTTTTGTATAAAATATTTCAAACATTGTTCAAAGTCTCAACAATCAAAATACGATGATGATTAACAATCTAAAAACGTCGAATTTAACAATTCAAATGACATTCAAATTAATAGCGAGAAAGTATAAGCTGGAATTACTTTGGGAATTTTCCAACGCGTACGAAGAAAATTCGTAGGAATTTTCAATTCCTTTGAGAGAAGACCCTTCGCCGAGAGATTTTGCTTGAAAAACACAGAGTTGAGAAGAAGGTTTCTTTTCTTCTTTTTCTTTTTCTTCTTTCTTTTTTTTTTTCACGGAGCAGAAGACGAACCAATAAACATGATTCGCCTTATAATCTCACCTTCCTTACGAGAGCGATATCCCCAGAGTTCCTCCGTTCAGGCAATCTAAGCGGGGAAATGGTTTTATGCACACAAGTGATACCCACGGGAACCGTTGCCCCATCCAACGACATTGAATAATTGCTACCAGCTATCTAACCGATTGAAAATCAAAGACACCGTGGGAATATCGTCTAAACGATTGACCAACGGTTCCACATTAGCGATGCCATTTCTAACTAACAATCACTAATAATTACAAAAGGTTCAGACAATATTTGACCTTTCGGTTATTTCTGGCTCAATCTATTTATTTCAATTTATCTATTTTTGAGAAAAATACGAAAGAAAATACTGCGTTCAAAATTTTTTTAAATTAAGTAACAAATTAGATTTAATTAAACGGTTTCGTCGCTTTCACGGCAACAACAAACAGAATTTGCAACGAAAAAGAATTGGGGAAGTTGAAATACATATTTGATCTTGCTACGTTTTTCTTTTTTAATCATTTTTCTGGTCGAATCGTGCTTTTCTATCGTTAAAAAATTTTGTACATTGGAGAAAAACTTGGTGGCATCACCGCTGACATGCAAAATTTCTTTTTTCAACATATTCTGTCAGATTTTCTTTAAAATTGTGTATATTGTCCTATATTAAATTAAATTGACAACAGATATAATTGATGATTATTATAGAAATTAAAATAATATTTAATCCTATTTTGGTCGTTTTCGATCTAATTTTTATCGTCGAAAAACTTCACGAACTTACTACTTCTTTTGTTAACATTGTTTTCAAGAATTATATGTTACTTTGCATCAATTTTACTTTGAACTTTTTGTCCCAAAATTGCAATGCTCTCCCAGTTTTAAATATATTTAAGCATAACACAGGTAAAACAAATAACAAATTTTATTACTTTTCAATAATTTCTATCTAAAAGAAACGAATTATTGTGTACGGTTTGGTCACTCGTTACGGTCCGCGATCAGCTGTGGTAGTTAAATTAAATATCAAAACTAATTAATTAATTTCAGTTTAATTATCAGGTATCCGCGCACGTGCTGAAACTTTCTTCTGCTTGTCATAAAAGAAGAGAACCTTCGGAAATAAATGAAAACACAGAGGGAACCTAACGTAACAAATATGAAACGTAAAGATGAAAAGAACTTCGTGAGTTGCAAGTTTCTCACACGAAGCAATTCTCGTCCAGGAACGAGGGAGGGAAAAAAAGATGGAACGGTGAATTTTTTGAGAAACCGTGGAAGCGGTAATAGCCGTCATAAGCAACGAAGATGAGAAGACACGATCGAAGAGGAAAAAGGATGAAGAAGCGAGGTTGAGTTGCGGGATGGCCATTATCCAAGGGAGGACGTGGATCACGATGCAAATCGGTCGGCTCGCACTTAGCAAATCGGTCCCTCTCCGATTCTTCTCTTTAACCGTTTCAATCCCTCTAATCGTCACACGTAACCAGACGTACACGTACGCACTGGTAATGGAATCGAACAATATTCGACTCGATCGACGCTCTCGACGTATCGTAACAATGAAACACAATTTTCTATTCGAGGATATAACTTTCGTCGATGCGCGTGTTGCGTGAATGAACATTTTATCGCGTTCTTGAAATCGCGCGATCGTGCCTTTCAACACGTAGAACTCCGTGGAAGTGGTCACTTTCGACTCTGTTTAATTCAATTTTAATAAATTGAAATTAAAGCAACTCCTATTAGGAGTATTAGTATTATTTTCATTTCCTTTAAATTCGTTCTTCTTTGTGACGAGTTATGTAAAACCTGATTTCCAATCTTGGTTTGCTTGCATTTCAATAAAACGAATGAACCTTGTTTTCTTGCTTTAAATATGTTAAAGAATAGTGCATTTTTTGAATGTAAAATCGTATGTAGTGTTTTTGAGTTCTTTATTTGACAGACAGATTTGTTTCTTCTATTCAAAACGATTTCTTTTTTTTTTTTTTTTACTTTAAGTGTATAAAAAAAAATGAATCGCTCAGAAGAAAAATGATCTATTTTTGGTTGAATAACACATTTTTCACGGATGTTACAGAGATACAGATTTTCGCGATATAAAACGTTACGATAAATTCCCCATTTTAGCGAAATCACTTTAGAGGTGCTGTTCACGCGATACTGAAAAATTTTATCGTCCATACATTTTCTACGATTACTAACCTCACTGGTTTCACCAAACGGTACTTCAAGTTTTTAGATATCCATTTAAACGGAACAGTTCATGAAAATTTAAAAAAAATACAACAAAGTTCAATACAATATCGTTATCATAACACAGTAGAACGTCAATTAATTGCGAGGCAAATCAAATTTCTCGGATTTTTCGGATAATCGGTCTGGAAGAATCAAATTTGTGATCAACTATGGATGTCATGAATCAACTATGGATGTTTACTACGTAATAACAAATAAAAAATTACGTAAATAGTAGATTTAACTTTCAAAAAATATCACGTTACGACAAAAGTATAATGAACAAAATGTAGATGAACAATGGTTCACCAAAATTACCAACGACGATGGATTAAATATATTCTAATTGTAATAATTAGACCACGGATGCATGCAATATATAAAAATATATAAAATATCGAAAGTGGAGTATAATACTTCTATTGAGATTGTGCTCTAATAGCATATATGAAAATTACACAAAAATCCACAGTAATAATTATAAAATTGTTTCACAATGTACCTAGAGAGCTGAAACTTAATTAATATCATACGAAATGTATCTAGAGAGATGAAACTTGATTAATATTATTTTCAAGAAACATATATATATCTAAGACAAAGGTGGTACATTCGTAGAGTAAACAATTAGAGCAATAAGGTAGAAAATAAAAGGGCAATCTAGGATAAGCGGAAAAGAGGAGTTAGGTAATACAATCGAGGTTAAACTGTTAAGTATAGCATAAAAGTATAGTGTAAGTTAATGTTAAATTGTTAAGTATAACACAAAAGTATAAGATAGGTAGAGTATATACCTATAGTATTAGTATATATCATATATCAGATATGAGGAGCGAAGAGCGAGAGTGAAAGAAACAGAGAGAATGAAAAGAAAAAAAAGAGAAATGTAAACCAAGTCCACTTTCATGGCTATGAAGCCGAAAAATAAAATTATCTATCTATATATATATCTAAGAAATTAATGTTTCAATGTCTGTATATATATATTTCATTATTTCATCTGCAATAACCCAAGAAATGCAAACAGAAATATAAATGCTGTGAGAATTAAAGCGTTGGAAGCAAATTTCCAACTTGATCAATTCGTTGCTACCGCGCAAAAAATCACGAACAAATCAAACAATTGATCGATTACTTACCTGACAGTTCATGTCCTGTTTCTCGGACAGCAGCCTAGCGACGTGACGAACGGACGAAGCAACCTCCGAGGTAGCTCCTGCTTGTAATGCCACGTCCAAAACAGCGAGGGTATCCTTGTCCCTCCGCAACGCGCACTGAAGCTCCGCCAAACGTATACTAAACTGCTGGACGGCTTGCAGAGCGCACAATTGTTGATTACCCCTGCAAAATACCGTTTAGAGGATATTACACATCCGTGGGGACATTAGAGGATAGAGACTGAACGTAAGTAACATTTCTGTTTGAGACCTTGGACTGTTAAATAATCCTGCGATTTGGATTTGGGAGGGAGTGCGACGTGAGATTGAAATTAGACGAGACAGAGGTTCTACTGACTATAATGTAACTGGGATCAGATAAAAAATTTGAGGAGATAAATAATTGTACTATTGGGTGCAAGAATGTTCCTCAAACGGAGCGTAAAATGGGACAAGGAAAAGGCGTTAGCACACCTAGTTTTTTAGCGATTAGCAAAATCTGCGTGTTTTTGTTTTTTTTTTTCTTTTTTGATGTTCTTCGAATATTTTTAGTGATATTAAAAGAGTTTGTAGTTGAATGTTAAAAATTACAATTTAAATTATAATTACAAAAAAAAAAAAATTAATTATAAAAAATTATGTGAAATTAAATTATTACAATTTTTAAAAAATTATAATTTAAATTATAAATTCAATCTTGTTTAAATATTTGTACGATTGTGATTGTATTCTATATTTAAGAATTCGTACTTTGAATATTCTTTAGACATTTTTCCAAGTGGTTCTAGTTAAACTTCAACAATTCATATGAAAGACACGTGTTAAGAAAATAAATTGTGAAGGAACTAATTTCTTCAATATTTTTTTAATAATTTAACTTCATACCGTAGTAGAATGTTAATAATTCAGACAACAATAGAATAATACTGTATTGAATTTCGAGCTGTCACATTTTACTGAATATTTAAGCTTGGCACTGCCAAGCTTAACAAACCATATCCGACAGAATTAACAGGGGCACAGAAGAAGAAGGGAAGAGGAGGAGATAAAACAAAAAGTAAGAGGGAGAGAAAAGACAATTGATACAAATCAAACTAATTAATCCTAACTAATCCAGATATTAATAATGTTGCATAATAAATATTAACAATGCCAATAATATTATTAATAATTCGGTAACGACCAATGCCAAAATAATACCTACTTATCGAAATAAGTTTACAATTATAATTAAACGTTGCGTTGCAATTCAAACGTTATAAAAAAAATGTTGATAAAAGATTAAACTTAAATAAAATAAAATTTTATGCACCGATCGTTTATAACGTAAGAGAATTAAACTTCTGAAGAGGAGTCCACCAACTTCAAATCCAAATCCTCCCGAGGGCGTACCCTTCTGCAATCGATTCGCGACAGTTCGATAAACAGACGGTTATTCCCGATTCTCGGCATCGGCGAAAGCGAGGCCGAGAAATTGAATGGAAAAATCGCGAGCCGGGTCAACACAATAAAAAGTGGAACGAGGGCAAAGCCTCTTGGCAAACAGCGAGACGTCGAATTATTAGCGGATCTCCCCGATGGCGGTATCGGCAAATAGAAACACTTTAGGTCAATCCTAGGCACCCTAGGCTCGCGCCAATGAAACCAGAGCTTTCGTCTGATTTTTTTTCGTCTGCTTTCCGCATTGGCGTGCGAACTGCCATTTCTCGGAAAGATCGCTGCAGCGAAGTAAGAACCGATGTTCTACTATTAAAGTACAACTGATTGCGGACCATAACGAGTGACCGAACCAGTCGCTTTCTTTTTGAACTTCGCTCGGTATGATATTGTAGCGACCTCTACTTTGAAGTATTTAGATCAACGATATCTATGTTCATTAGATGTTCGTTCCGTCGAGATGTGTATTTAATATAAACAATAGAATATTTAAAAATAGCTATTAATTTTATTATCACCATGGAAATGTTTACTGACACATATATATATATTGTAGCCATAGTAGAAATTCTTCATTCGTTATTTAACTTTCATTCGTAGAAATTATTCGTTATTTAACATTCATTGTTTAATCTTCATTAAATTATTAGTAATTATATATTTTATTATATTGATAATATTTTTATATAAACTATAGAAATTAATTACGGAGTTATTATTTATTTGTAGTATTGTGATATAAATATAAATTATCATAATCACTACAGTATCACTGAATAGAAATTATTGAAAAATAATAAATTTATTATTTGTTTCGCCCGTGTATTTGGTTATATTCAAATATATTTAAAAACTGGAAAGATATTGCAATTATAGTACGTCATTCCAGCGCAAGAGGTTATTAACTTGGGCGTTTGATGAAATTATTTATTGCTAGTCCCAAACAGGATGCTGATTTTATTTTTTGTTCAGTTACTATTGCGAATAAAATATTTTTAATTTTTAATGTTACGTTAATTTTAATATTGTAACAATACATTGTAATATTGTAACAATACATTTGTTTGAACATTATGAATTTTATAGTCTTGACATACTTGACAGTACTTTAATGTATTGGATACTGATTTTGGTTATTGTTTAGCTGTTGCAAGATAGTTGAAAATAAAATATTTTTGATGTTTGTATATTAATTTTAATATTGTCGTATTCTTTTAACACTATGAATTTCATGATATTAAATTACACGCTTGCTATTTTAGTATCAACAGAAGCACAAATTTATTGGCAAATTTGTCAATAGAAAGTTTTTTGCATACACAGTGCAAATACTTGTAAATATAAAACATGAAATGTATGAACGTTCAACCATTCACAACATACGAAACGAAATATTGAAAGTTATTCAACCATTGTGTTTGTCGATTAAAATTTGAAAAAAGTTGCACAGTTGAACCTTTCCCGATACTTGAAATATTTGAAATATGTGGACGTCAGATCTGTGATTCATGACTGTCCGAAGAAATATTGCTTGAAATCGGCACGTCACTCAACAAATGAGATAACGATGAACAAAAGTGTATAAAATATGAAATGGCTGTTCTTGGAGAAATGAAGCGTCGAATATCGGCTGGCTGGTATGTTATAGAGAATGGTGGACGCTCGTGCAAAGAATAGAAATTCCTGGGAAGCGTCCGAGGGATAGGATTGACCTTTGTAAAAGCCCAGTGGGTCACTGGTAAACCCCTTTGCATGGGTCAGACCCCTATCAGACGGGGGAATCAAGTGCTCATACGGCAATTAAAACGCAAGTTGGGCGACCGCGACGTGCCTTTCGCGTGGAACACGTATCAATTTCAAGGTTCGTGATTTGCTTGACCTGCCCCGAGGAACACGCCCCTACGTTTCATCAGAAATCAGTGTCACCGTTTTGCTCCAATTAATCTAATTTCAAATAAGACTGGGCATATTATTCTGCATTTTTAACATTGTAAAAGAAAAAAAAAAAGAACACGTGTAACCGACGGTGAAGAATTTGTTTGGTATATGTATCATAAGATGTATTCTTTAAGAAAGCTAAAATAAAATTTTTCCACTTAAAAGGTATCATACCAAAGAGAGTTGTATTAAAAAATTAATATTATTGTTAATAAGTGTATAGCAATATATTAACAAAAAAAAAGTAATATAAAAAATATAAAAACAAAGATATATTATAATAAATATCAAGATATATGCATTAATTAAAGATACTGTATTGATATTTTATATTGTATTAATAAAATATTAATAAATAAAAAATTAATATTGTATCAAGAAATCGAGAGTAATAATTTATACTTTTAATATTGTTATTAATGTTATTAGAATAATTATTGAATGTGCTATGTAATGTATATGTATTAATAATAACTTTTACACTAAATCATGCAATATATTCTTTTTACATATTTCTACAATTTCCTCTTTTCAAAAAAATCAATCCTGGATACAATTATCTATATAATTATTCACGTGAAATCTCTCTTATCGAATGTTACTCTCAACGTACGTATTTCTGTAATTTCCTTCTCTCGATAAGACAATTGTCAAAAATTTCGATAGCAACATACAATCATTTTAAATAAGCGGTTCAGAGACCGAGGAACGGTGTAGAAACGTCGAAGATTAAACCGGCGATCTCCGTTAAAACTAGTAATCCCGTGACACGGGTCGAAATCCCAAAGACTCGAGCCCTCGTTGCCGGTACCTATGGTGTCCACGGTGTTCCCGCTGTGTTTGCTTTGGAGGCTTCATTGCCTCTCATAATATTTGCCCAACGTCACACGCCGTCCAGCGAACGGTCACTCAATGATCCTAAACCAGCTATCCCGCACGCTCCGAAATTCTCTTCTCTCCAAAGGGGGAAAGAAAGTCTCTCGAACAAGAAAGAACACCTCGAGAAATTGTAAATGTCGTTAAACGAGCCTAATCGCCCGTTTCTGTGCCACCTAATTCGCCTCGTCAAAAAGATTCTCCTTCGGTGCATCGAATGATCAATTTCTTCGTGTTTCCGAATTCTCTGAGAATCTTTCAGTCATTTGTGATTAGTTTCTTTTTTTTTTAATTTCAACGATAAGTAATAAAATTATGAAATTGTGACTATTGTGATTATTATCCTCAATTCTGTCGATGTTTGATAATTAAGAAGATCTGAAATAATTATTAAACAGTTGAAAGATTCTGAATCAGTGCGAAAGTCAAGAAATAGAAAGAAGTTGATCGATAGTTAATTTATGCTGTTAGTTTTATCCTGAAGTAGAATATCCCCGTGAAATCTCTTAAACATTTCCCTTGCGTTTCATAAATTTTGAAATTTTCTAAATATCTGCTGGTGCTAATGTGTAATACCTATTTAAATAAATAGTTTTCAATATCTACTTCTTAATTTCCCTAGTTTCTGAAAATTTCCTAGTTTTCTTTTTGCTACGTGTAATTCATTTATCTGAAAATTTCCAAATATTTTAAATCTTCTAAAAGATTTTCCAGCTCGCTCTACAATTCACATGAAAATTTCCAAATTTTCCTAAATCTTCTGACAAACGATCCAGAAGTTTATATTTTAATTTTACTAGGATTTGGATTAATTTCACAAATTATCATAAATGAAAGAGGAAAAAAGAAATTTTTGGAAATTTAAGAATAATTTATGCAATACTAGGAATTGGATTTTTCGGATTTATTGTATGAGCTCATCATATATTTACTGTTGGATTAGATATTGATACACGAGCATATTTTACATCAGCAACAATAATTATTGCAATTCCTACAGAAATTAAAGTTTTTAGATGATTAGCTACATATCATGGATCAAAATTAAATTTTAATATTTCATTTTTATAATCAATTGGATTTATTTTAATATTTACTATTGAAGGATTAACTGGAATTATACTTTCAAATTCATCAATTGATATTATTTTACATGATTCATATTATGATGTAGGTCACTTTCATTATATATTATCAATACGTGCTGTATTTTCAATTATTGCAAGATTTATTCATTGATTTCCTTTATTTTCAGGATTATTAATAAATCAAAAATGATAAAAATTTCAATTTTTTTTTATATTTATTGGAGTTAATTTAACATTTTTTCCTCAACATTTTTTAGAATCAACAGGAATACCACGACGATATTCTGATTATCCCGATTCTTATTATTGTTGAAATTATTTATTTCATCATTAGGATCAATAATTTCAATAAATAGATTATTATTCTTAATTTATATTATTGTCTAAACGATTTATTTTATTTAAATTTCATCAATCATCATTAGAATGATTAAATAATTATCCTCCATTTAATCAAATAATACAGGTACAAACGATACAAGTCAAAAGTAAAATGAAATCTAGTATCTGGCGTTAAATTTCGATTGTACGAAACACAATAATAACTTACGTTGTTTCATTTGGAATTTGACTTATGCTCTTTCTATTCATCAGAGGGGGCAGATCGGTTCTCTTATATATCATACTCACTTTTGAAAGGTTTCGTCCCAGACGCGATACAAATCCGCCACGCCATCCTTCAGCGCAGTGAAGATCAACGAGCTGGAATTACCAACGTCGGTGATCAGTCTGTGAGTCTGGACGTTCAACGCCAGCATCGCTGCCTTACGATCCCTCAACGCAGCCAGCTCGGCCTGGAACATTAAATATACATTTTTAGTGGTTGCCCTCTACGGCTAACTCGAACGAATTGCTCCGTTCTTTGCGACTATGGCGCAGGGGCTGGCTTTTGGGGGTTGCGGGTGATGTATAAACTGATCCGCAGTAGCAGAGCTAAGGAAACTTAACCTGCTGTATCACACAGCAGGAAGAGAAAGGATATTTTATCATTCGCGCCAGTGTATCTTATTGAACGACTATCTATTTACTGTCCTGCTGATACGCGTATAATAGATAACAACGACGATTCAGAACGAGAAAGATTTGTTGTATAAAATATTTATCACGCGTGTGGCAGATCAATTGTACTAATTTCTGGAAAGGCAAGAATTAATGAATCATTTAAGATATTTAACTTCGCTTAATCCTGTCAAGGATTGAATAAATAGTTTACAAACAAACACTTCAGGTGATTCTGATTCGTAAAATCATGGGATCTAAATGGAAGAGAATGTTTGAAATTGCTACAGGCACGCAGTGTTGATAAAGAAGAGATCGAATAATTTTTCAATTTAATTTCTTTAGATTTTTACATATTCTTATATTTTCTATTTATTCTGGAGCTGTTGACTCCTCTGTAAAATTATGAATCGTTTCACACTGGAACATTTATGTATTGTAGTAGTAAATTGACCTATCCTTTCTTACACAGAAGCAATTAATCTTGAAATACGTGTTGTCATTAGAATCCATAATTGTTATTACAGGTTTTCTACTACTAACATTTCACGATTTTAAAATGAAGAATGAAACGGACAATGAAAATTGACAGCCTCAGGAACTAAATCCAATCTGTACTTTTTTGATCATGATTTGAGAATTTCATTCGAAACGATATCAAATATTTTTCCCTGCATTTCAAATTTAATTTTGTAGTCTGAATTTTATTTTTCATTTATTTTCATCAAGATTAAGCGAAATTAATTATACACAATATCCTATTGAATTTTTATTTCATAAAAATATAAAGAATAATAATAATAATAATATATAAGATTTTTAAATTGTAAAAAATTTTGAATCTTTTCATATATCACGGCGATTCATATATCACGTATACGTACATCTTAATGTACAGGAGTGAGTTACCTAATTCTACCATCTAAAATTACTTGAAATTCATCTTTTGTGTGAAAAAACATTTCAAATAGAAATCGTATGGTATTAAAAAAACTGTACAACTTTTGCTTGAAACATATCTTCATACAACAAATGTTTTACAAGTGGCAGAGTTAGATGATAATATATGATTCCATCATATTATTATTTATTAGATTATACTGTTATATTTACATTATTTATATATATTATGTTTACTATTATATATATTATTATAAATATAATATAACATATATATATATATTATAATCATTAATATACATATATGTTATAACATATAAATATTATAAATATTATATATATAATATATTAAATATATAAATATTATATTAAATACATTATTATACTATTATTTATTACATTATGCTGTTATATTTACATTATTTATATATTTTTACTATTATATATATTATAATAAATATAATACATATAATATAACATATATATATAATTATTATATTTATTGCATTATTATATTATTATTTATTACATTATACTGTTATATTTATATTATTTATATATATTATTTTTACTATTATATATATTATAATAAATATAATATATATATAATATAATAGAACATATATATATATATTATAATTATTATATTTATTACATTATTATATTATTTATTGCATTGTACTGTTATATTTACATTATTTATATATATTATTTTTACTATTATATATATTAATATTAATATTATTATTATTAATAATAAATATATTATATATATATAATTATAATATAGATAATATATATATTTAATTTATAATAAATATTTATTACACTATATATATATGTATATATATTTATTTTTACTATTTATTTATGTCTTTTTTCGTATTCCACCTAAAATATCAAAACGAACGTCGTTCAAGACTTCAACGTCCAATGTTCGCGCATACGCCACGAATCTCGTTTGCACGATACGCATCGAGAACGCAAGGCCCAGACAACGAGAGCGAAATAATCGTACGTTTATCAGGAAGAACATAACCGAACTATAAGGGTTGTAAGAGAGCAAGGTAGACACGATGGAGTAACCACGTCACGTTGTCACGTCTCCGTCGTCCTACTGCAGGAGGCGACCGACGAGGGCCGCATAAATAAACCCAGCTTTACGACGGCGACGCAGCCCGTAACAGAACGAAAACGAGAGCCCCTCCGTTTTCTCCGCTTCGTCCACACCATCTGTCTCTCTCTTTCTCTTCGCCATCCTCTCGCGTGACGAGAGGACCTCGTAAAACTCCAACTCACCTTCTTGCCGGTCATCCAGCATTCTTTAGCTGGCTCTCCCTCTACCCGCCGTTCCTTATCACTTTCGCGTACCGCCGAGTAATTTCTGTTCGCAAAACGACGAAATTTACTGTTACTGTCTTTCGTACTCGCAGTTCCTTTTTTTTCTCCCTCGTGTTTCATTTCGGGGTTGCCTCGCGGAAATTGAAAGTTTCGAGACTTGGATGACGCAGGAGGGATTTGAAGGCCAACATAAATTTGTATTTAACAAAGCTGAGATCTTTATAAATAGGTATAAAATGTTCGTACATTGTTCGAAATTACATACTTCCAAATCTTTTGCTTAGGGGTAGCGTTGCCCTATTACAATGTTATTCGTACTAACTCGCATTTATTCGAAAGTAAATTTAAAATGTGAAACACAAACACAAAATGTGAAAGTGTTGTTAAATACATTTATGTTTGATCGGAAAACTAGTATTTGCAATGTTATACGTGCTTGACCGTTTAATAGTAAAATTATTTTGGCTGTAAAATATGCTGTGCACGATTGACAAATAGATAGACAATAGACAGACATGTATTGACAGTACAAAGTCAGAGCAGATACAGAGAAAAGATTGATATACTCTGTTCTCGTCCGATTTCACCCTCCATCGATCAAAGTCAGAGGATCTTTTGGACTGCAACGGGAACTATAAGGGAACGACACGGTGTCACCGATAAGCTTTGACGTCGAGATTAGCTTCGTGTCATACATACGTCACATTCTACACTGCATTTGTCCACATAATTTACGATTCGCTTCATCTTTGTAAAGTTTCAACTTTATAGATGGATACACGACTCTTTATGTTCGTCTTTCTAAAAAAAAAAAGATACTGTGCCTACAACATTCGCCATTTCTCTTATTCTTCGTTTTTTCTTATCTCTCGATGGTTCATTAATTATAATTATAATTATGTTTGCCTAGAATGAAAATATTACAATGTTTTCTTTTTCGTTGTGTGTATTTTGCTCGACTAGTTTTCAAATCACTCGGTCGTCATCAGTTCTCTAAATGATAAAGTATCATAGTAAGTAAACACTGCGGGCATTCATGGGGAAATTTTAAACCATATACAATACACGTTAATACGTAAGAAATACAAAATATTTGTTACAATATTGAATCAATGAGATAAACTTCCATTCAGAGTCTACGTCAACTTGGAAATCTATAAAAATTCACAGTCTAGTATTGACAAGCAAGAAACATTCTATCATTTTTTCAAATTCAGACGACCAAAATTTCCTCATCTGCTCCACAAGAATTGTCCTTAATTTCTCACAGCTATAATTACATTCCAATTACATGGTTGAGAAACAAAATCTCAAAAAAAAAAAAAAACAGCACGTACACGTATATCTACGTGCGTGAAACTGCTATCACAATTTTCACGCAGCTCAAGCATCCTCCGACCTGCAACAACAAGTGCATTCAACTGCGGCAAAGCTGCAATCACCAGGGGCCAATCGATATTCTTCGCGGCTCCGCGGCTAATCGATGCAAATCCGTGCACGAGCAAACGACGGTGTCGCGATTCCGGGCACGCTGTCGAAGAGGTCAGACGCGTGAAAAGCGGTGGGTTTCACGCTCGGCGTGCGTGAGAGCCCGATGAGAAAAGACACCCGCCCCGACGAGGGACGAAGAAAAGAAACGGAGAAAGAAAAGAAACGCGCTAGAGCGCTGTCCGACAGCGGCCGCGACGAAAAGTGGCCGGTGGCGGCATTGATATTCCGAGCACACCGCGAACGCAGAAGCAGCAGCCTCGCGGCCGTTCCCCTCCGCATGGCAACCACCATCACCACCACCACCACCGCCATTCACCACCCACAGTATTCGCCTGTTTCCCTTTAGAGCCCGGGTCCAGCCTCCGACAACCCTCCTCCACCCTCCTCGAGCCCTCGTTACAACACACAACCTTTCCCTCCGCGACAGAGCCCTTTCCATCCGCGTGTCGCGCGGTACCAACAGACACGCACACACGCACATTCCGATCTAATTCAATTTCCAATCAACAGCCAATCAATTGATTCGAATTCGGTATACAGAGGCGGTCGGCTGGTTGGCCGGCTGCGGCCTCTGCATGCCTATGAGGCTGCTAGCCTCCCTCTATCACCATCCCCTTCTCACTCTCTCTCTCTCTCTCTCTCTCTCTCTCTCTCTCTCTCTCTCTCTCTCTCTCTCTCTCTCTCTCTCTCTCTCTCTCTCTCTCTCTCTCTCTTTCTCTGTCGCTTTTTCTCTTTCTCGGCGTTCCTTTGGCACGAGGTGTCTCTCTCTTTTAAGGCCACGCGTGCCCCGTCCAACCGGGCAATTAAGCGTTTTTTTACTTTGAACTCGCAACGACGCACTCACGATGACCGCCACACGACGATCCAGCGGCAGCGGAAAGAGGGTGGTTGAAGCGTGGCTCTTTGGTTTTTTTTTTTTTTTTTTTTAGCGATTTGGAAGAGGATTTTTTTGGACAGTTCTCTTACACGACGGTGAAATGTATAAATGTAGATACATGTCTAAATAAATATCTAAGATACAGGGTGTTTCGTCTAACTGAGTACAGTGATATATCCCGGAAAG